ACTTTTACTTTGTTTTCATTAATGACTTGGGATTTGGATTTTTATTTTTTGTTAGATTTTGCATGCAGCTCTTGGTATTTTGTCCAAGACTACTTTTCCAATAAAAATTAACCACTTCATTTATACCCAAAACTTTATTTAAAGGCAATAGAAATCACAGAAGAAATGTACACAAATGATTTATGAAAAAAAAACATATATAAATCAAATTATTGGTGAACAAAAACAGGTTAAAATATCAAGCAAAAGAAAATCAAATCTGTAAAATGACAACATCCCAGAATTATGAAATTGGTACATAAAATAAACTTCATGTTATTTCAGGGAAAGGAAACAAAGTTACAGATGAATTATCCAGAATTTGATTCCATCGGTGATTTCATGGTTTGGAAGAAATGATTTTCAGAGTAAACTGTGGCGGCAGATTATATTTCCTGAAGAGCTGGAATGAAAAACACACATATGAGTCAAAGGTTAAAATAGACACAAATAGACATAAACAATCTAAATAGATATTAGCTCACCTCTATCAGAGCGTCTTCTAGCTCTGATTCTGACATTTCTCCAAGAAGCTCCAACTTCAAATTCAATCCCAAAACATAATCTGTTGATAACAAAAGAGACATTTATAATTCACTAATATATTAGAAATCTATTAAATTGCAGATTAATAAAAGTAATGTAATAATTGTTTTTGAGAAAAGTTCAAACTTCAATATTTTTATATGACAAAATTTTCCAAATAGGGGAAAAAAATAATACTAAAAACTTATGTTTATTTACTCACTTGGCCCTGTTTGTTGGTTGATGAAGTTTCAAGTTTCAAGCAAAATGGTTTTGTTGACATGAAAAGAAAGAAAAACAATGAAATAATATTGGGGTGATTTCATATTTTAATTTTCTTGTAATTTCAAGGCAAGAACAACAGAAAGACATAATTGCAGGTGTTACAAAATGAGACTTTGGTCAATCTTCTCTAGTTTTACTAATAATTCAAAAAGTTCTGCAGTGAAATGCAACCCATTAAAACCTCTGCAAATTTGAATTTATGTGAAAAATGAGGTAAATCTATTGGACACCATTAAGTGTCCAATAGATTTAAGTATCTTACCAGTAGCTGCAAGTATGCTGACTCCACTGCTTCTGGCATTTTCAAACACAGAGAACAGGGTGAATGTGTAGTTTGTACGAGCGGTCAGAGATGTGACTGTGTGTTTCACTGGTCCGTCTCCATCTGGTGCTCTGATGTTTGTCTCTGTGCCGTTAAACTGCAGAACAAAGCTGGTGTTGATGCCGACTTTATTCCATCGCAGAGTGATGCTGGTCTCATCTTGTTCCGATGCTCTGAAGCCCTCTGGATTTTTAGGTGCTAAAACAAGTGAGGACAAATTTAAATAATGTATTCAAAACATTTATCCTCCAAAAGTTTACATTTATGAACAATATTGTCATGTTGATGATAAAAGTCCTAAGACAAATAATAATTTTATCAGGAACATTTCCAAGTCAAGTAATATTATTTGATCAAATTCTAAAATCAGAAATCAAATCTGGTAAAGTAAAAAGTTTATGTTCAAATGCTGAAGCATAAAATAAAGTTCAGGGATCAGATGATTTTGAGTTTTGCTGTTTGAATGAAGAGTTTGTTTGGACCATTAAATGTGCAACAGATTTAAGTATATTCTCTTTTTGCAAAATGATATAAATACCTGCTCATGTAATAAAGACTGGTTCAATTGGCCAAATTATATGTTTTCATATGAGACTTGTTAGTCTTTTCATATTTGAGCCATGATTGTCTCAAAGATTTGTTAATATGTTTATACTGAACATTGAGTTCCTTTACATTAAAGTTTAAAACACTTATTGTTCAACATTCTGCTTGATGGCTGTTTGCTCTTGGCTTTTTTTCACATTTTAAAATTTTTAATTCTTTTAATGTATTTCCTACCCTTATATAAACTGATGTTCTGGCTCATAGTGTTACTTCCTCATTGCATGTGGCATTAGACAATGTAGTCCCATAAAAAAGAAGACATGTGTGACATTGGCAAGTTTGAATCCTTGATGGTTCAACCTGATTTTCAAGATTTTGGATAAAAAATAATTTGCTTTGGTTGTGAATAAATGTATATACATTATATTAATACCAGTGATAGCTGTAAGTTGTACTCCACTGCTTCTGACGTTCTCAAACACAGAGAAGAGAGTGAATGTGTATCTGGTTCCAGCAGTGAGAGATGAAACTGTCAGAAGTAATGGTTGTTGTCCAGCAGGTGGTGCTATATTCAACTCTGTTTCATTATATTGGAGGATGAAGCTGTCATTGTTATTGACATCATCCCACTGCAGAGTGATGCTGGTCTCATCCTGTCTCAGTGATGTGAAGCTTTCTGCATTTTGGGGGGCTGAAAGAAAAGAATAGGAGCTAAATTATGTATTCAGTTCATTGGAGTTTGGTGGTGAAGTGACTTTCTCAAAAACCTCATGTCAATGAAAAATCGTTGACCTTGGTTTTGAATAAGTTAATGTTTTTGTATCTTACCTGTTACAGCTGTATGTTGTACTCCACTGCTTCTGATGCTCTCAAACACAGAGTAGAGAGTGAATGTGTATCTGGTTCCAGCAGTGAGAGATGAGACTGTGTGAGTTACTGGTCCATCTTCATCTGGTGAACTGATGAATGTCTCTGATCGGTTAAACTGGAGAACAAAGCTGGTGCTGTTGTTGATTTTATTCCACTGCAGAGTGATGCTGCTCTCATCTTGATCTGATGCTCTCACAGCTTCTGTGTTTCTAGGAGCTAAAATAGAAGAATTCATTAGTAGGCTGATAACTTTGGTTTACTTGATGGTTTTATTGGTGATTTGAAGATGTATGGATTTTAACACCTATTGACACATTGTGGTAAAAGGACATCTTTCTTGGTCTTCTCATTGGCCTTTACATATCTCTTCTTTAAGTATAGGTAACATATTTTATGTGTATTTAATTAATATTTTTGGAACTGAGGGGATATTTATCATCCATCAATATTAGTCATTCTGAAGCCTCTCCATAGTCCTCAATCAATGTTAAACATATTATAATAAATCTTTGCTTTAATTTCATAGAAAACAATATTGTAAAGCTTGATCAAGTCTTCCTAAACAATCCAGCCATGTCTTGGTTGGATGAACTTCCCTCCATGTGGCAAGTGAATTACTCATAAATCACATTTCTTTTATTGAGTCAGTGCAGAGATTAGTTCAAATAAATATCATTCCAAACTTTTTAACTAAATTATGTAAGAGCGGAAATACTATTTAAGGGAGTTGTTTGGCGGAAAAGACCCTGGCACCTCGGCGAAGACTTTGGCTTCGCACTAGGTCAACCTGACCGAATTCTTTCCTTCCATTTGCGTGCAAAGCGCAAATGGAGCCAGAATTTACTGGAAAGGATGTCTGTTTGTGCAAGATAAAATCAACAATTTGAGATAAATTGTCCTATTCAGCAATTCTGAAATGGAGCAGATGTTGAGTTCGTGAGGTCCAAAATATTTTAAAGGTCGCCCAATACACACTCAGTATAAAGCGTGCCAGAATCTTTCTGCAAAACAACAGTAGCACGCCATTGGTTGAAACTTTCCAACACACACTGATGAAAATGGAAAAGTATAAAACAGGTGGGGATTAAGACTTCGAGGAGATTTTTTGTGACAAGAAATGACGATGAAGATTTTGTATTGAACTGAAGAAACTGTAAGGAGGAATCCGTGGAGTGTAATAAATCTCCGGCTCGTCTATGGCCTAGCAGCAAGAACTACGTCTCTGTGCGTTATTTCTTTTACTTAGATATTTAAGAGTATAGCCACCTTTCAAATCCTCAATAATATCACTTGCTCAAATGAAAATGGCATTGAGAACGTGTGCATCACTTGGCACTTGTGTAACAGTACAGGTATGTTTGATTAATTTTAATAGAGGTTATGTTAAAATCCTTACCAGTAACAGCTTGAAATTGTACTCCACTGCTTCTGATGCTCTCAAACACAGAGAAGAGAGTGAATGTGTATCTGGTTCCAGCAGTCAGAAAAGAGACTATATGAGTTACTGGTCCATCTCCATCTGGTGAACTGATGAATGTCTCTGATCCGTTAAACTGGAGAACAAAGCTGGTGCTGTTGTCTCCTTTATTCCACTGCAGAGTGATGCTGCTCTCATTTTGTCCTGATGCTCTGAAGCCCTCTGCATTTTCAGGAGCTGAGAGGAAAAAATGAGATTTAGAAATGATTCAACATAGAGTCACTGATTGTGTCTCCAGAAATAATGTTGCTCTTCTTGCAGTTGAAGTTATTCAACAGTCTCTCAAAGGTGATATAATCAGATATTAAGTTACATTCCTCCAAAATCAACTTCTAAGTAAAGTTTTGTTTGACTTTGATGAAAATAAATCTCTCACCAGTCACTGCAGCAATGCTGACTCCACTGCTTCTGATGCTCTCAAACACAGAGTAGAGAGTGAATGTGTATCTGGTTCCAGCAGTGAGAGATGAAACTGTCAAAAGTAATGGTTGTTGTCCAGCAGGTGGTGCTATATTCAACTCTGTTTCATTATATTGGAGGATGAAGCTGACATTGTTATTGACAACATCCCACTGCAGAGTGATGCTGGTCTCATCCTGTCTCAGTGATGTGAAGCTTTCTGCATTTTGGGGGGCTGAAAGAAAAGAATAGGAGCTAAATTATGTATTTAGTTCATTGTTGAAGTGACTTTCTCAAAAACCTCATGTCAATTAAAAATCGATGACCTTGGTTTTGAATAAGTTAACATATTTTTATCTTACCAGTGACAGCAGTAAGTTGTACTCCACTGCTTCTGATGCTCTCAAACACAGAGAAGAGATTGAATGTGTATCTGGTTCCAGCAGTGAGAGATGAGAGCAGCATCACTCTGCAGTGGAATAAAATCAACAACAGCACCAGCTTTGTTCTCCAGTTTAATGGATCA